CTCTTGGAGGAGAGACGAAACGTTTCATTAGAGAAGAACCCGTCCAGAAGACCTATACAATTTTTTTTCCTGTTAAACTGGAAGGATCACAAGTTAAACAGAGCTGAAACTCTGGTTTGGATTGGCCGATTCTCCACATGATCCCGCCCACCTTCAAATTAAACCAATAGAAACAAGTTTGTGTCAGTGACACAGTCGTCTTAGCAGCTAGTGAAACCTTCCGCTAACTGTTTTTTAATCCGTTGAGCAGATTAGCGTTAGCATAGCTAAGATCCTTGTTTTAGTGGTTAGTGAAGCTAACTTTATAGTTTGCTGTGCCCACCACTGTCTGTGTCATGAGCTGCTTTTATTGATGATAAAATAATAAAAACCATAACTCACAAGTAAATATGGTTTCTGACACCGGCTTGCTTTTGCTGATGTCAATAACAGCATAGACCGTGACGCTGTATTTGGCTGCAGTCTTCAGATTAACAAACTGTACTGAATGTGTGTTTACATGTGATGCTGAGTTCACAAGCTCTGCGCCCAGCCTGAGCTCAGCCAAGAAGTAAACGTCAGTACTCTCCATAAACGTCCAGGAAGCACCAAYAGTGTTGTGAGTTGCATGTAAAACCAGGTTTGAGATCGCTCTCGGTGCTGTTAAGGAATAAAAAAYAAATAAATGAAAAAAGATTAGTGCCACTTGACTCACTCGTCTTTCATCATCTTTAGATTACAGAAGAATTAGTTACCGGTGTAGTTGCTTATGCTTTGGGGTTTTCCCTGCAGGGTGTAATTGGCCACAGTAATCACAGTGAAGTTAATTTTCTGTCCGTCCGGCAGTCCACCCACCAGGACTGCAGTACTGCYCACAGTCTGGTCAAAAAATACCCTGTTGCAAAGAGACACATTTAACTAACGCTGCTAACCAATGAGAAACAGAAATGYAACTTTTTTTTACATCCTGGGGTTTTTACTTTGTGCTGATAAGAAAAGTAAGAGTCTTTAAAGAGCGCAGTTTTTAAAATGATAGAGTAGAGATACAATCCTGAATAGTTATGTCTAATAAATATATTTGTGATTGTGGTTGGATGAAAGTCAGATTCACTGATAATGACATCTGTGGTGTAAATCAGAGGAAAGGAACGGAGTACTTCAGTCCAGGGTGTAAGATTATGGAATAATCTGGAAGATGACATTAAAAATGCCAGATTAATGTGTATATTTAAGAGAATGATAAAGATTAATTTGCTGGAGAAATAT